CCCCCCCCATTTTGATGGTGAGGAGGGTAGAATTTGAGAAAACAATAATCAAGTTCATTTGGAATTATAAATATGTGAAAGATAGCCAAAATAATTTTGAATTAGAAGAGTAATGGGAGAGGGCAGGAGTAGGGCAGTGGGCGGGTACCTTGTTTTACAGAATCTTTAATGTACCAGTATAGGAATGTTCAGACAAATAATTACAAATAAAGAAACAGATTCATGTCTATACATAAGAATATAATTATTAATTATTCACTAAATAGTGTTTGGACAATCTGCCAGTCATTTGGGTAGAAATAAAGTTAGATCTTTTACTTACTCCAGATGCCAAAACAAATTCTAGAGGGATTGAATATATAAATCTAAAAAAATGAAAGTATTCGAGTACCCAAAGAAAACGTAGATAAGCATTAGATCTTGATATAGGGAATGCATTTCTAAGCATAGGAAAAAAAGTAATAATAATGCAAATCAAAAGAATGATAGATTTGACTACATTGAAAAAAATCACATTAAAAATTGTTTTTAAATTCTCACCTGTTATGTTTTTGATTTATTTATTTATTTTTTTAAGAGAGGAAGTGTGGGGGAGAGACAGACAGACTGACATCGATGTGAGAGAGAAACATCAATCAGTTGCCTTCTAGGAATCGAACCTGCAACCTTTTGGTGCATGGGACGATGCTCCAACCAACTGAGCCACCTGGCCAGAGCAAAAACCGTCACATTTTAAAAAAGGAGAAAGTTTGAAATACCTGACAAATGGAATAGACTATTTTCAGAAGAATGGAGTGCTGGGCAGATAAAAGCAGATAACCACTTTAGGAGTCATAATTCCTCAGTGTTCCACATCCAGTCACCATTCGTGCTTTCATTCAAATGTTTGAGTGTCTATACAGAGAACCATTGTAGGTACTGAGGATAAAGGAATGAGTAATCAAATGGAGAAAATCTCTGCTCTTACAGAATTTACATTCTAGTGATAGGAGAGATAAATGCTAATTAAATAATGTAGATGATTTAAAATGGAGCGTTTCTATAGACAAACAAAGCAGAAACAGGAGATACAATAGGCTGTGGTGGAAAGGGCATTGCAATTTTAAATAGTGACTTTTAAGCAAAAATCTGAAGGAGATGAGGAAGCCATGTTGTCATCTGAGAGGAAGAACATTCCAGGTAGAGGGATAAAAGGCAAAGGCTATGAGGCAGGAGAGTGCTGTGCATGTTTTGTGAACAGCAAAGATGTGGTAGCTGAAGGTGAGTGAGCAAGATGGTGAGTAGTAGGAGATGAGGTCAGGAAGATAACTTTCTAGATCCTGTAGGGGCATTTAAGTCAAGTTGTGGTGACTGTTGTGTACATTGTTGGATGTTTCACAGCATCCTTGGTCTCTGTCCTCTAGATATCTGAACTCCCCAGTTGTAACCAAAAATGCTTCCTGACATTGCAGTTTTTCTAGATTTGGGGAGCAAAGTTGCCCTTGATTGAAAAGCACTGCTCTTCCAAATGATTCTGAGTCCCTCTGGACAAAGCTTGGAGGAAGATTTGTAGTGTGTACTTGTGGTAACAGTACAGAGTCCTTAAGGGTGACCCAGTCTCCTTAATCAAGAGGCTATCAGTCTGCAAATTTGCTAGGTCTGTGAATGGCGAATGTATGTGATTTCCACTGTGGTGACTCAAGTCAAGTTTTGGTCACCAGATTTAGGCATTTTTGTGTTATACAGATTAAACTGCCCATCTATTTCATTCCTAGGAACATCGTGATCAATTAGCCACTGCCAAAGATCCATGCGGGCCAAAGCATTCTGATTACCGGTACGTCCCTGCTGCCCTTATCTTTGGGGTTAAGTGCTGCCAATTGGCCTTAATTACTTTGGGATCCCATCATCCTCAGTGAAATTAGAGAGCCCATCTCAGTGGTGACATTCCCCATAGTCATACCTGATGTACAAAAGAGACCAGCCACACAGCTTGTCAAGTATGCAGAGCTCCCCTAACTAATACAATGTCTCCTGGGCTTTACCACTGATGGTGCCAATACTTTATTAGACAGAGGACAGAAACCTCACAGTAATTTGAATAGGGAAAGTTAAATATATAGAATTACTAACCAGTTATGAGAACTAACCCTAAGAGGGAAAGAGAACTTTAAGGTATACAGAATAGCAGGTAGAGGGAGCAGCCAATAACTTTAGGGCTGAGGCAAAGTAGCAGGGATGGAATAAATTTGAAAGATGCCCCATCCCTCAGCTTGAAGGCTGAGATTCAGATCTTGTTGGAGAGGGTGTGTTTCACCGGACACTGGACAAGTTTGAAATGCTGCAGATTTTTGTTGGCAAACAGGAAACCTCCCTCTGGGGTGCTGACAAAAGTTGCTAGGCCCGGCCGGTGTGGTTCAGTGGTTGAGCATCAACCTGTGATCTGGGGGATAGAAGTTCAATTCCCAGTCAGAGCACATGCCCAGGTTGCAGATTCGATCCCCAGTGAGGGGCATGCGGGAAGCAGCCAATCAGTGACTCTCTCTCATCATTGATGTTTCTATCTCTCTCCCTTCCTTTCTTTGAAATCAGTAAAGATACATTAAAAAAAAAGGAGTTAAAAACTAAATTTATTTAAAAAAAAAAAGTTGCTAGGAAGTCCCTTGCTGAACCTGGCTAAGAAGACAGCAGGGGCACTGGTATAATTCTCTGGGAATCCTCCCACCCTTTGGGATGCTGACAAAGCTTTCTAGGGAACCAAGCATAGGGGTATGTGTGAGTGTCACTGGAGACTTGGTGGGAAGTTGGCGCCTGGGAGAGGGTCATTGGATGTCTTGCATACCACTAGCCTCCACTGGAGCAAGCAGTTCAGAGCACACGTTTAATGAGGAGAGAACCTTCTTCCTTCTGGAGTATTCCTTCAGTGCCATCTGCTGACAAATGTTGTTAACATTGTGCCAGCTGGCAAAGGAGAAATGTTCGTAGGTGCCAGCTCCATTATCACAAAGCAAGGCAGAGAAGAGTAGATTTGGAGTTGAGAGGAAGTACATTTATAATTGGTACACTCAGATATTTACATTTCTAGTATTCTTCATTGCTTTGGGTAAACCCTGATTTCCATGTGGTGGTGTTTTACTTCTTCTGAAGGACTTAACTTTAAAACTGCTTGTCATGTTGGTGTGCTGCTGCTGCTGAATTCTTCCAGCTTTTGGATACCTGAAAAACTTTTTTTTGCTATTAAAAAAATTAATAGTGGTAAAATACACATAACATAAAATTTCTTATCTTACCCATTTTTAGGTGTACAGTTCAGTGATATTAAATACATTTATAATGTACAACCATCACCACCATTTATCTGCATAGCTCTCTTTTCATCTTGTAAAACGGAAACTCTATACCCATTAAACAGTAATTCCCCATTCCTCCCTTGGCAACTACCATTTTACTTTATTTCTTTTAGTGTAATGTCTTCAAGTTTTGTCCATGTTGTACTATGTGTCACAATTTCCTGTTAAAGGCTGAATAATATTCCATTGTATGTATATACCACATTTTGCTTATTTATTCATCTATCAGTGGACATGAGGTTGCTTTCACGTTTTAGCCATTTGGAAAATGTTATGAACATGGGTGTACAGGGGTGTATGTGGGTGAACGTGGGTGTATCTCTTTAAGATCCTGTTTTCAGTTATTTTAAGTATATACCCAGAAGTGGAATTACGGGATCAAATGGTAATTCTATTTTTAATTTTTTGAGGAACCGCCATACTGTTTTCCACAGCAGCTGTACCTTTTTACATTTCTACCACTAATGCCTAAGGGTTTAAAATTTCTCCACTTCGTTGACACTTGTATTCTGTTTTTTTGATAGTAGCCATCCTAATGATTATGAGGTGGTATTTCATTGTCATTTCAGTTTTCGCTTTCCAAATGATCAGTGATGTTGAGCATCTTTTCATGTGCTTATTAACCATTTGCATATCTTTGGAGAAATGTCAATTTTAGTCCTTTGCCCATTTTTAAATTTGCTTGATTGATTTTTGTTGTTGAGTTTTAGGAGTTCTATATATGTTCTGGATATTAATCCCTCATCAGATATAAGGTTTATAAATATTTTAACCCATTCTGTAAATTGCCTTTTTACTTCATTGATACTGGCTTTGGATGAACAAAATTTAAAAATTTTCATCAAGTCTAACTTGTTTATTTTTCGTTGCCTGTGCATTTGGTGTCATATTCATGAAGTCACTGCCAAATCCTATTGTCATGAAGCTTTTGCTCTATGTTTATTTCTAAGAATTTTATAGTTTTAGGTCTTATATTTAGGTCTTTGATCCTTTTAAAGTTAATTTTTGTGTATGGTGTGAGGTAAGGGTCCAACTTCATTCCTTTGTGAGTGGATATCCAGTTTTCCCAACATTTGTTGAAAAGATTGTCCTTTTCCTGTTAAGTGGCATTGCCATACCCTTGTCAAAATCTTTTTTTTTTTAATATATCTTTATTGATTTCAGAGAGAGGAAGGGAGAGGGGGGAGAGAGAGAGAAACCGCAATGATGAGTCATCACAGATCAGCTGCCTCCTGCACGCCCCCGACTGGGGATCAAGCCCGAAACCCAGGCATGTGCCCTGACCAGGAATTGAACCACCATCTCCTGGATCCTAGGTTGATGCTCAACCGCTGAGCCACGCCCGGCCGGGCTCAAAATCATTTGACTACACATGTGAGGGTTTCTTTTTGAGCTCTCTATTCCAGTGGTCTGTATATGTCCTTATGCCAGTACTGCACTATTTTAATTACTATAGCTTTGTAGTAAGTTTTAAAATAAAGAAGTGTGTGCCCTCCAGCTTTATTTTTTCTTCTCAAGACTGGCTATTCAGGGTCCCTTGAGAGTCTGTGAATTTTAGGATGGGTTATTCTAGTTCTGCAAAAAAAGTCATTGGGATTTTGATAGGGATTGCTTTGAATCTGTAGAATGCTTTGGGTAGCATTGACATCCTATCAGTATTAAGTCTTCCAATCCATTAATTTATGTCTTTAATTTCGTTCCAAAATGTTTTGTAGTTTTCATTTATACAAGTGTTTCACCTCCTTGGTTAAATTAATTTCTAGGTATTTATTCTTTTTGATGCTATTATAAGTGGAAATGTATTTGTAATTTCCTTCGCAGATTGTTCATTGCTAGTGTGTAGACATGCAGCTGATTACTGATTTTTCTGTGTTGACATTGTACACTGTTACTTTGCTAAATTCATTTATTCTACTATTTTTTTTCCTTTTGATTGGATCTGTAGGGTTTTCCACATTTAAGATAGTATCTTCTGCAACATGATAAAATTTTACTTCTTCCTTTCCAATTTGGATGCCTTTGTTAGTTACAGCATTTTCATAGATTCCATCTTAGGTTTAGATAATATAATAGTCCCTTTTACTATTAGTTTGCAGAGAGATTTTTTTTTTTTTTTACATAATGGAATTAAATTTTATCAAATGCTTTTCCTGCATGTATTACGAAGATCATATAGTTTCTTCTTTTTCAGTCTGTTCATTTGTTTTTTGAATGTTAAACTAACTCATTCCTGTAGTAAGTTCCATATGGTTATGATGGATCATACTTTTCATATGATCTTGGATTAAGTCTATAATGTTTTGATAAGAATTTTTGCATCTGTGTTTATGTGCAATATTGATTACACGTTTTCTCTTTTTTCTTTTTTCAAACTTATCTTTATTGTTGAAAGTATTTCAGATGTCCCTGTTTCTCCCCCCATTCATCCCTTCCACCTATTTTCTTTTGCTGTCTTTGTCTGGTTTTGGTGTCAGAGTGATGCTGGCAATATAAATTGAGTTTGTAAATATTCCTTCCTACTAATTTCTTTAATAAATTTGGGTAAGATTACTATTATATATTTTTTAAGGGTTTGATTTTTTGGCCAGTAAATCCCATCTAAGCCTGGCATTTTCTCTGTGAGAGGTTCAATTAATCATTTGAGTTTTAAAACAGGTACAGGAATTTTGATTTTTTTTTTTTTTTTTTTTTTTAGCGGTTTGTGTTATTTGGTGCATTCATCCATTTAACCTTAAGTAATTGAATTTTTTTAAAAAATATTTTTTTATTGATTTCAGAGAGAGGAAGGGAGAGGGGGAGAGAGAGTTGGAGCATCAATGATGAGAAAGAATCATTGACTGTCTTCCTCTTGCACGCCCCCAGCTGGGGATCGAGCCCACAACCCGGGCATGTGCCCCAACTTGGAATTGAACCGTGATCTAGATCCTAGGTCGATGCTCAACCACTCAGCCATGCCCACCCGGGCTTAAGTACTTGAACTTATTGGCTGAATTATTTATAATACTCTCTTATTCTTTTAATGTCTGTAGATGTATTCTTGTGTCCCTTTTTTGATTCTTGATATTGCCAGTTTGTAACTTTATTTTTTTCTTTGATCAGTCTAGCTAGAGGCTTTTCAGTTATATTGATATTTTGAAAGAATCAACTTTAGATTTTGTTGAATTTTTAATTGTTTTCCATCTAATTGATTTTTAAAATATCTTTATTTCCTTGTCACTTCTTTTGGGAATGCTTCAGAAATGGAAACGGGAAAAAACGCTGGACTAGGAATCAAGACTTAGTTACAACAGGAGGTTCCACATAACTTACACAAGGGACATTCCTGGAGCACCCAGCGCAGGTGATCAAGGAGATTGTGCCACTGGGTCCCACAGGACACCTACTACATAAAGCCACCCAACCTACACTGGGAGTAATAGCAAATCTTCCTAATACATAGAAACTAACACAAGGAGGCAGCTGAATTGGGGAGACAAAGAACAGGAGA